GTAACAACGTAATTCATTTACAATAATAATAGAACGGTTTAACAAAGCTAATTATTGTTCATGACCGTCCACATATTTAGCTGTGAGCATATATCTTTTCATTTTTCACTCTGACACAATTCTTGTGCGAAAAGTATAAAAACATATTCTGGGTAGTGCCTGATTCACAGGCACAGATGTTGATCCTTCACCCAGGGGATCTGAAGGAATTGCTAAGAGGTCCCTGCCTCCTGAAGAGAAGAGATTAATTTCCTCATGAAAAATAGAGAAAGGAGTGAATAGACTTAATCTATTGCAAGGAAGGCAAGAGTAGATGAGACTGGTTCTTTTTGGAGAGTGATGATGAGAGCTGGTGATATAAGCTAGTCAGTGGGCGGAGGAGATTAAAGTACAGATGGGACTAGCAGGAATCCCAGATGGATTTAAAACTCTGACAGCCTCTGCGGTGAGGAAATTCCAGGGTGAAGACAGGAATCCTTTTAAATGTTGAATCTGCCAGTGGAACAGCCTCTTGGTTTGTGCTTGAGGGAGAGTTTGTGTGACAGAAGAGGATTATTGATATAAACAGAGAAAACTTAAAACAAGAAGTGGCTGAAAGACTATTGAGATCAGCCTATTAATGATATTGCCTGTTAATGAAATCTAGTTTCATTGGAAATTATCCTCCTTCAGCATCAGAGAAAGGTCAGGGACCAGACCAAGGGGCTGGGAGCTCCAAGCACAGGGGTCCAGAGCAGGAAGAAACCTTTGCAGACACCAAAGAGATAAAGCAGAGTAGAAGGGAAGATGAAGGGACTTTAGCCCAGACCCAGGAAAATGGCCTGACTCCCAGATCAGGTTCTCTAGGGCAAATCAGGAGCAACATCTAGAGATGGGAGGAGATGGAATTTTAGGAAGAAAGAAAGAAAGAAGAAAGAAAGAAAGAAAGAAAGAAAGATGGGGCCGGAGCGATAGCACAGCGGGTAGGGCATTTCCCTTGCATGCAGCCGACCCAGGTTCGATCCCCGGCATCCCATATGATCCCCCCAAGCACCGCCAGGAGTAATTCCTGAGTGCAAAGCCAGGAGGAACCCCTGAGCATTGCTGGGTGTGACCCAAAAAGCAAAACAAAAAAAGAAAGAAAAAAAAAAGAAAAAGAAACAACCCCCTCAGTACGCAAATGAGTCTGCTCCCATAAAATAAATACCTGGAAAATATTTTCCTCCACCCAACACTTACTGACCCCTGGCGTCAAGAACATTGAAATGAATGAGAAAAGAAAAGAAAAGAAAAGAAAAGAAAAGAAAAGAAAAGAAAAGCACTTGAAAACAAACACCCAAGCATGGCCCTTTCTTTGGAATCGCATGTAGCGTTAGAGCTGTTAACTCTGCACTGCCCCACAGGAGGGGAATGCTCAAAAGTTTTCAGGTTAAATAGAGGGAACTCTGATGGAGAGATAGTACAATGGATATGGAGTTTGCTTTGAATGCAGCAGACCTGGGTGCGATCCCCTGCATCCCAAATGATTCCGCTGAACACGGCCCCTCCCCCACCCCGCCCCCAGCACTGCCAGGAATAATTCCTGAGTGCAGAACCAGGAGTTAACCCTGAACGTCTCCAGGTGTGGCCCCCAAGCAAAAAAAAAAAAAATAATCAAGGGAATCTGAAAGATAGCTCAGTACCCCAAATCCTGTCATCCCATCAAGTTGCTTTCTACTGTGGGTGGTACTGTGGGTGGTACTGTGGGTGGTACTGTGGGTGGTACTGTGGGTGGTGAGCTGATATAAAGCCAGCCTCTCTGCTCCTCAGCCCTTCAGTTCAGGGGGAACCTTGAAGCGAGAGAGGGATGGAAGCCCCGCAAAGAGGCCCGAGTCCTGGCACTAGAGAAGGTGCCTCCCACAGCGGGATGCGCAGAGGCTTTTCCCCCAAGGAAAAGCTGTCCTTGAGAAAGAGGGAAGAAGACCCACATGTTGGTGATGGATGGAGAGAGCCAGGATCTGCCCAGCCTGGCCACAGCGCTCAGCATAGAAAAGGTGAGTTTGCAGATGCTGGTCTGCAGATTGCTTTGATGTGATGGGGGCCACCATCCATGGGCCTCTGCTGGGATGGGTTGGCAGCAGGGAGATCCAGATCTGACCTTCACAGGGAAAGTGGATTCATTCTGGCTTTCCCGTCAGGCCCAGTGGGTTGCAGGAAGTTGTAGGAAGCAATTTTCTGAGCGCCAGGCAGCTCAGAGACACCAGAGCAGGGCCAAGCTCCTAGAGGCTGTGGGGAGTTGAGGTGGGGCTGCACTTGATGTGGGGCTATGCAAGGAGGGTGCTCCCACATGGGACCTCCCCATAGTCTCTCTAGACTCCCAGAAACCAGACAGGGATCCTCACTCTTGTCCTCTCTCCACCCCAGCGGCCCCCAGGCCTGGCCACGCAGCAGAGGACGCCAGACAGAAGCGGAGCAGAAGCCCCGATGGAGCCCCCAGCACTGGTTCCTGGGAAAATGAACCCTGGGAAGAGAAGGGAAGAGGCCCGCCAGCCCCTGCCCCAGGGGCAGCAAAGCCCAAGCCTGAGTCCAGCGTGGCAGAGAGGCCCCGCAGAGCTGGTAAGTGATGGAGGAGGCAGAGGTTATCTGTGGGCCGGCCCGACGGTCCTAGAGGGCCCAGAACTTGTTTTGGTTCCCGACTGACTGGAAGTGCGAGCAGGCGCCAGGGAGAGGAGGGCCTAGGGTGTAGGTGTAGGTGGAGGTGGGGGTCTCAGATCCCCTGGCAGGGTGGGCAAAAGCTGTGGGAACCTTTACGTCTGGCTCCAGCTCCCCTGGTTTCTTCTCTCCCCCGTAGGTCCTGCGGACCCTTCTCATCCCCCCAAGAACAGGAGGACCCGGTCCAGGTCCCCAGCGGGCAGCGTCAGCTCGGTCCACAGCCGGGACAGCCTGGAGGCCAGGTCCGGTTCCTGCGAGCACCGGCGACACCTCTCTGTACCTGCCCAGCAGCCTGGTGGGGCCCCTTGGTCCAGGCTCCTCACCCACCTGGGCGCCCTGGAGGTGGCCCTGGAAAACCTGCGGGCTCCGGGGGGCGCTTTCCTGCCTTTGCGTGAGCCGGAACCTGCCGGAGCCCCGGAGCCCTCGGCCTCACAGCGTGCCTGGCTCGCCTGGCACCTGGCACAGGCGGGCTCCAGCCTGCACTGGGCGCTGAGCGCGCTCGACAGCCTGTTGGCAGAGCAGCCCTGGGCAGCCTTTCCTACGGAGGCTTGGTGGAGTTAAGATGTAGGCCGAGCTCATGGTCTAATCCTTCTTGGGGCTCAGACCCTTTTGCTTTTCGGCCAGTCCGTACTCTGGGTGCTCCACCTCCTGGTGTAAGGGGTCCACGTGTGTTGCACTCCGAGATGAGGAACTCCCAAGTAATCCTTCAGTCTGGGAAAGTGTGTAATGCAGGGCCCAGAGGAAAACGGATACAAGCTACCAAAAGATAATGGGGGAAATGACTTTTGGGTGCTTTGAAGTGACTCTTATAAAAGTTAGGGTTGGGTGGCAAGGTCAGAATGGTTTTTGCCTTCGAGAAAGTTGCGAAAGTAGCTTAACAGACCCTGATAATGGCCTAGGGTGGGAGGAATTCTTGTTTTGTGTAATCGAAGCAAATGAAGCCAGAAAGTGAGGATTGGCCACTGTAATAAAGGTTACAACTAGTGTTTTGGGGTCAGCTTGGCTGAACTTAAATGCGATCATTAAACAGATAGATATTGTCATAGTTGAGGTGTGATTATAGACCCAATCCTTGACTTTAAGTGAGGAAGATTAACCCTGGATACTTGGTGGACCTTCTTCTGTCACTTGAAGTTCAGTCTTGCTCATGAGCCCCTTTCCTAAACGAGCAATCGAGAGCTATGATGCAGTAGTTGGGTATCTTCTTCCTTTGTTTGCTTTTTCGGAGCCACATCCATCTGTGATTAGGGATTACTCTTGGCTCTGTGCTCAGGGGGTCACTCTTGGAAGGGCTTGGGGGACCATATGGGGTGCTGGGGATTGAACCCGGGCTGGTCACATGCAAGGCAAGCACCCTAATTCTATCAAGAAGTATTTACTATTTATGACTAGTCATGGAGACAGAGAAACTCCATCAAATGCTAGTTCTCACTGAAAAAATGAAGTGACTTGATGCAACATGTAACTGCATGGTGCTATATGTAACCTGATGCTTACATCACCCCCCTGCCCCTGTCACAGTCCTTATCCCCATCAGCCAGCCTTATCTGACTTTTTGTCTCCCGTGGCCCTCCTATTTTCCTATGATCTTTAGCTATCTAGAATCCTTGGGAGGTATTAAGATTTCTGGTTTCCTAGCAGATTTTGGGGGAAAAAAATTTCAAATTCTGTAATTTTTTTAAGGGCTAAGTCACTATTTATCATATATTTTTACATTGAAATAAAAATAAGCACTGAAACAAGAAATTTTATCATTACAAACAACAGAGCTTCCAGAACTACTTTAAAAATTTTTTTGACTAAAATGAATTTAACTGCTTATATAAATTTTAGCACCTCAGGGAAAAAAAATCCTTGCAATTAAAAAAGGTCAGACTTCAGCGTTTGCTTGTTTTTGGCCATCTAAATCTTTAATGAAGTATAATTGTGTAACAGTTTGAGGTAACAACCTTGCATAGGTATATTTAATAAATGATATTAAACCATAGCTACTTAATACTCAAGCTGTGTTTTTGGCATAAATGTTTCCTCTGGTCATTGATAAACTCTCATTGCACTTCATGATTAGCTGCCCCAGATGACTGGAAACTTCTGATAGGCGGAGTGAGTTGAGGGCAGCTGGAGTCAGGAGCCAGGAGCAGGATCTCTGCCACACCTCTCCGTCCCCCGCGCCCCCAGCCCCGCTCCAGGGTCCTGCGCCTCGGCGCTTCCCGCCCCTCTTCGGCCGGACCTGGCCCCAGACTCCGCTGTACGGCTGTCTTTGTAAAGATGGCTGCGCCCACGCGCGCCACCATGGCTGCTGCCGGACCCGCGCAGGCCGCGCTGCAGGACGCTGCCATGTCTGGCTCCGCCTGCAGGACGAGCCGGACAAAGCCAGAGACTGCACCAGACAGCGGCCGGGACCCCCAGCAGAAGCCGGCCGTCTACCGGAGATGGCTGTGTCCGAGCCCAGGGACCGCGCCGCGGTGAGCGCGACCACCCCGCTAATCGGGGGTCCGTGGAAGGAGGCGGTGGAGAGAGAATTGGAAACTTGGTGGAGTCGGCGCCCGAGGGAGGGCCTTTGGCGCTGCGGGGTTAGAGGCCAGGCGCGCTCGTCGGGGTTCCCCGGGTGCAGGTTGGGGGGATGGGGATGGGGATGGGGAAGGAGTTGGAGGGGGAGCAGTGGAAGTCGATGGACTGAAGAGATGGGGAGTGATGGGGGAGGGGACAGGGGAGGTGAGGGGGAGGGGATGGGGGAGGGGATGGGGATGAAGATGGGAAGTGATGGGAGGAGATGGGGTGAAGAAATGGTAAGTGATGGGGAGGGGCTGAGGAGGGGATGGGGATGGGGGAGGTCAGTGACTGAAAGTTTAGCGCTTGGCAGACTATGGGGATCAGAAATGGGGGCAGCGGGGCTTTATAATATAGCAGAGATGTAGGGGTTCTGTGGGAGCTGCCTATCCCTACGAGGGACCAGTGTAGGGACCAGTGTAGGGGCAAGTGTAGGGACCAGTGTTTTGCGCTTGCCTTATGGTGTTTAGAGACTAGATTGTATGCCACGATGTGGGGAGAAGCTTATTGCAACCACCTAAGACAAGAGACGATGATGATTTAGAATCGTTTTAATTGGTGATATGTCGATGATTAGTCGATGTAAAAAGAAACTAGTCTCCTCCTGTATCTGGAGATGAGACAGTGATGGGAAGATGTGAGTTGTTGGCGGGCTCTCAGGGCAGCTCTCTCTCCCTGCCAACGTTCAGTGCTCTCCAGCCACTGTGTATGGACCGGATCGGGATGGCTCCTCCTTTGTGCTCTGCTTCTGTGTGTGCCACTGTGCTCTCTTCTGTCTGTCTCTCTATCTCTGACTCTGTCTCTGTTGTCTTTCCTCTGGTATCTTCCGGTCTCTCTCTCTGGAGCACTTCTCGCGCTGGATTCTGACTCTGCCCCCTTCTTCTTCCATCCTCTGCTTCTTCTTCCCTGGATCCTGACCCTGACTTCTGGAGCCCGACCTGCTCTCACTTCTGACTCTGCCCTCCTCCGCTCTTACAGTCTTAGTTTATATAGCAATCGCATAGGGTGGTGACACAAAGGTGGGCTGAACATTAATAAATCAACAAAGAGGGGTAAGACCTCTCCTCCAGGAGATTAACTCAAGGATAAAATCTCATCTAAAGAGATTACTCCGGATTACTAGGAGATCCGTTTAAGGGTGGATCCCATCCAGGGTGTGTCGCTTTCTTCTTTCCTCAGCTAGTAATCCACTTAAATGGTTGTAGTAAGTCTACTTCTAATATTTCTAGCAATGTCATTCTCTATGAGCACAGTAAGAGATATATCAAACTTAAAGTTTGATTCTTCCTGAGAATGTCTCACTATATATTCCAGACCACAGTCCTCAGGTTAGGTTAATCTTCCTAACCCCAGCAGGGTCCTAGTTTCGTCTTTACTTTTGGATCATGACAGCATTTGTCTATGACCATGCTCTCACCTCATAGTTGGGTATTGTGGTGCTTTGCCCTGGCCCATTTTGATGCCAGGGTAGCTCACAATGTGCCCTGGGTCCATTCAGTCCCTCGCCTGTACCCTGCTTTTGGGGTGCTAGGAACTAAGGGCAACTGAGTCGAGAAAGCAGATGCCCAGGAGTAAATATTATTGGAGTCAATCAACTCCCAAGTTACAAAGCATAATATTAACTGTCTTCCTGTGTCCATACAGAAAGGACATTGCTTTAAGGTAAACTAAGTTCCCTGCGGAAAGGCTGAAAGGACAAACCCAATGTTATCCTGAAAGACAGTAGGGTTACTGGTGGATTGACATGGAACCCGAGGGAAGAGAATGATCAGGATTTACACCTATATGTTTGGTCTGAGGAACTGGGGGTGGAAAGTGTGGGAAATTTCTATTTTCGGAGAAAGGGTTTGTGTTGGCCGAGCAGATTTGATGAATGGAAATAAGATTCAGTGTGAGTGATAAGTTTGGACATTTTGGACCTGTCAAGTTAGAAGCCCATTTGCATATCCAAGTAGAGAAGTTGAGTACTCATTAGATTTCTGAATCTAGATCTTAGGAGAGGTCTGGGATAGGGAATTCATATTTGAAAGCCATCCACATAAAGCTTGTATTTAAAGCTTGAATAAGACTAGATGTGACCGCCTAGGGAGAGAAGGCAGGGGAGAGAAGAGGGCCAAGGACTATCCTGGAATCACACCAACATTTTGAGGTCTACCTGAAAATATAAGACAACAGAAGTCACATAAATCTGTTTCAAAGAAGCAGAAAGAAGAACTTTTTCAGAACAACACAATCAATGTGCTTCATGCTCTTCTGAGCCCCAGATCTGCAGCTGCAGAGGATTTGCAACTTTGAAAAGTTGTAGCTGGTGTCTGTTTTGACGGGCTAGAACTCTTCCTGTGGTGTCATGAGGGTAAAGTCCTATAGGAATGAGTGGAAAGAAAATAAGTTAAACTGAAAATTTGGAAAACATTGAGAAGAAATTTTGTTAAAGGGAGCACCAAACTGGAAATTGGATGGGACATAAAATCAAGACAGGGTTTTTTTTTTTCCCACATGAATGATAGGAGGCATCCTTAGGTAACAGTGCGATTGACTGAGTAAAAAGGAAGAAGTAATACAAAAGATCAAGAGGCTAATTGCAGGACTGAAGTACTCTAGGTTTGGGTGCCATTGCACAAATGGAGATACTGGCCTTAGGCGAGGGAAGGGACACTTCTATTTTAACACAAGGGGACAGGTCATATGGATTTGGAAACAGGTTGTGGCGTTAGGCAGTAAGATAGTTCTCATCTGTGTGTATAACTGGGAGGAAGAAAGGAACAGGCTGAAGATTTCAGAAAGAGAAAAAATGTTAAGGAACCACCTAGTAAAGAGGAAAGGGGAAAATCGTAGGTTGTTGGTAGTTTGGGAGACCCATTTGAAATATGTTATAAATTTAAAGTGAATCCGTTCAGCACAGCTGTTTATTTTTCTCTTGCAGTGTTCAGCTGCAGGGTTGCAGGCAGAGATTGAGAGATAGTTGCGCTTGACTAAGATTGAAGTCAGTGGATAAGATAAGCAGGGACAGGAAAGCTGTTTTCAATGGAGTGTGAATGGTGCTAGAACAAAAAGTCTAAACAAGATGGAAGAAAACTAAGGCTGCATAGTGAAAGATTGTGAAGAAGTTAGCATCAGTGGACTAGAGGCTTATTGAGGCTTGAGAATCTTAGAGTAGAAGCACTAGAGAATGTGAGCTGAAGGATAGGAAATGAAGGTCAAAGGGTATAAGTTGAGGTTTGGAGGTGATTTGGAGGTTTGAGGAATGGACGGGTGATATGTAAGTAGTTGGGTTTTATTTTGGGAAAGGGGCTGTGAGGGTTGTTCGTGCGAGGCAAGGGAAGTAGCTCTTCTGCATTGATGTAGAAATCATTCAGGAGTTATGGTGAAAAGGAAGCTGGAGCTTTCAATGACTAAGGCAATTCGGAAACCCTTGGGAATATGTGCCTTTGGGAGCAAGTGGTGGAAAAGATCTTTTGGTCATTGGGAAGTTTGTTGGGAGCGGTCATTGTGGAATTAGAGACTTGAGTGGTTGAGAGTTCAGTGATAATCATAATGTGGGTTGTTAGGTGGCCGGCTCTTTGAGGTTAGAGATTGGTGACATTTGACACTAATTGGTGGTCTCTGGGATAAGGAATACTCTTCAGATGTTTACAATTTGAAGACAGGGCCTAGTGCAGTGGGAGGGTGCTTGCGTCGCATGTGGCCGACCCCGATTTGGTCTCTGGTACCCTATACAGTCCCCTGAGGCCCACCAGGAGTGATCCCTGAGTGCAGAGTCAGGTGTAATCTCTGATCACAGGCTGGTATGACTCAAAAACAAACTAAAACATTGAAAATAAAATAACACATGTTTGAACATAAATTCTGCTTAATAAGGGATCTTTAGTATATTTTGAAATGTCTCCTCCAAAATTCTACTAGTTATTTTTACAATTATTTTTCTTACATTATACCTCTATCTTTAAGAGCACTTTTTATAATGCATAAGAACAATATAAGCTTACTTAGATATAACTAGACATTTTACTGATTTGTGTGTGTGTGTGTGTGTGTGTGTGTGTGCTTTTTGGATCACACCTGGCTCATGCACTCAGGAATTGCTCCTGGTGGTGCTCGGGGGACCATAATGGGATGCTGGGAATTGAACCCAAGTTGGCCACGTGCAAGGCAAATGCCCTACCTGCTGTGCTATCGCTCCACTCCCCAGATTTTTTTTTTATTGATAGCCCACTCTTCCATATTATTGCTTTCATCAATCTTGTTTTTTTTTTTTTGCTTTTTTTTTTTTTGGGTCACACCCTGCAATGCTCAGGGGTTACTCCTGGCTCTGCACTCAGGAATTACTCCTGACGGTGCTTGGGGGACCATATGGGATGCCAAGGATCAAACCCAGGTCGGCCGCGTGCAAGGCAAATGCCCTACCCGCTGTTCTATCGCTCCGGCCCCACCTTCATCAATCTTGAACAAATTTTTTTTCTAAGGCCGACCCGAGTTCGATTCCTCCGCCCCTCTCGGAGAGCCCGGCAAGCTACTGAGAGTATCTCGCCCGCACGGCAGAGCCTGGCAAGCTACTCGTGACGTATTCGATATGCCAAACACAGTAACAACAAGTCTCACTATGGAGATGTTACTGGGCCCGCTCGAGCAAATCGATGAATAACGGGATGACCGTGACCATGACCGTGAATTTCTCCTTTGTTTCAGAAATTCCTTTTCTCTTTTTTATTGTGGGGTGGCTCCTAAGTCAGGTTTTACATGGACCACCCTGGTTCCTGGGGGCCTCCAAGACCATACCTGACAGATGGGGTGTCTCCAAAATTGTACTAGGGCATTCTCAGGGAACCAGGTTGTGCTGGGAATTATACGCCTCAGTCCTTGAACATCTCTGCAGCCCCAAATTCCTCTTTTTCCTCTCTCTCCTCCTTCCTTATTCTGTCTTATCTCTTCTCCTTGTTTCTACAGTACATAGTTATTACACTTCCTTCATTTTTATATGCCTAACATACCTTTCTTTTGTTTCATAATAATTTTTTGGCTAATTGTAAAGATCAGTAGTCACAATTCTACTTCAGAATTCAGTGTGTATAAACACCATTTTGCAATTATGCATTTAAATTTATATTCAAATATGTAAATTTTATGTTTATATTTAAATATATTTAAACAGAATTTTAGAATATATAAATTATATTTAAATATTCGTCATTATACTTAAATATATAAATATGCATTATTATGCATTATTATGGGCTGGAGCGATAGCACAGCGGGTAGGGCGTTCGCCTTACAAGCGGCCAACATGGCCGACCCGAGTTCGATTCCTCCGCCCCTCTCGGAGAGCCCGGCAAGCTACCGAGAGTATTCGATATGCCAGACACAGTAACAACAAAGTCTCCAATGGAGACGTTACTGGGCCCGCTCGAGCAAATCGACGATCAACGGGAGGGCCTTTACCTTTTTTTAAATATGCATTATTATATTTAAGAAGAGACAATAGTATAAGACTTTTTTGGCTAAATGTCTTTCTAATATTCTGATATTTTTTAATCCTCTTGAATAAACAATTTCATCATAGGGACATTCTTAGTCAATTTGGGCTGTTAAGCCTGAGTGGCTTACAATCAAAAATAACTTTATTTATGACAGTTTTAATGGTTGCAAGTCCAAGGTCAAGGTTCCAATATTTTCAGTTCTAGAGAGAGTGTGCTTCCAAGTTTCAAATTTCTCATTGAATCTTCACAAAGCAGAATAGTAGACAAAGGAAGCAAGTTCTCATGACTCACAATAAAGCCACTAACCCCATCATAAGAACTCCACTATCAGGACCTAATCTACTCCTAAGTATCTTCCAGAGGCTTTATCTCTGAATGTCATTACAATCTGGGGTAAGGTTTCAGTATATGAAGTTGGGGGAGACAAACATTTAGGTGATAAGAGGAACATGATTTTTATTCTTTTTCTTTCTTTCTTTCTTTCTTTCTTTTTTTTTTTTTTTTTTGCTTTTTGGGTCACACCTGGCGATGCTCAGGGGTTACTCCTGGCTTTGCACTCAGGAATCACTACTGGCAGTGCTCAGGGGACCATATGGGATGCTGGGAATCGAACCCGGGCCGGCCGCGTGCAAGGCAAATGCCCTACCCGCTGTGCTATCACTCCAGCCCCTAGGATTTTTATTCTTAAAATAAAAATGAGTAGTAGTATATATACAATATAATGATCAATCTTGAATGGTCAAGGCAAGAACAAGCGGTTCTCATCTTGTTCAAACAGTTACTAATGTGGATAGCTGACTTAATAGAACATTCTGTTACAGGGATCAGTAACATTCAAAGACGTGACTATGACCTTTACCCAGAAGGAATGGGAACAGTTAGATCCAGCTCAGAGGACTCTCTACAAGGATGTGATGCTGGAGAACTATAGCAATCTCGCCTCTGTGGGTAAGGGCAGTTCCTTGGTAGTTCAAAATACATCAACTTTTCTCAATGCCTTGATAATGTGGACCTTGAGTTTTATGAGTTAAAGGGTATTTTAAAAAAATCTCTTCCGGGTACCAGGTAAGATACTTGTGCTACTCGCTCCAAAATGAACGGTCATTATAGATAAGGTACATGACATCTGCATTGTGAAATTTCAGGAAAAATATATTTATCCTTTGAATAAGAGGATGCCAAACTTATTTTCCCCACTGGACCCCTTTCAGAAACAAACAAACAAAGAAAACCCCAATGCACTCAGCACCCCTCTGGAAAGCTACCTTCTTTAAATGAACGAAGTGTTCCCAACTTTGTTGCATCTAAGGCTACTACCACTCTGTGCATCTCTGCATTCTGGGACCCCACAGGGGCTGGTAGGGCCACTGGAAAACCACATTGTAGTTTCCCACCTCGAGAAGCCCTGCTTTAAAGGTTATGAAATTCAAATGGTAGTGCTTGACCTCTGGGATTATTCCAACACTCAGATTCTATGATTTTTTTACGAGCAGGGTGTAGAACTCCAAGCCAGATATGATCTCCACGTTGGAAAAAGGAAAAGAGCCATGGCTGGGGAAAAGGAAAAGACCAAGCCAGGGTCAAGGCAGTCTGAGTGAAATACCGAGACCCAAGAAAATGGGGTCCAGTGAAAGGAAGTACTTCCGTTGTGGGTGTCACCTTAGAATTCTTCAGAGCATCTTTTATCATTAAATTCTTCTTAAAGGTCCCAGACCTTTCTTAATCAGGGAGTAGTGCTGGGGACTGGCCCCAGGTAAACAGCCCCAAAGCAGAGACACTGTGAGGATTAAGGAACAAGACAGAAATAAGATTGAAAAGCATGGGTTTAGGGTTAACAGCCTGAGACTCAGACCCTTGGCCGTCCTCCATGTGTAATACTTACTGCTTAGAACTAGTAATCATCAGGACGAAAAACAACATTCCTTGATCGAATACTTAACTATCTTAATCTATCCAGGCTAGATTTTTACACATCCAGAGCCTAAGTATATCAGGAAAAACATCATTGTATGGGCTTTCTCAAGGAGAGATTCTTCTAGAGTGTGGGAGCAAAGATGAAGCAGTTACAGGACCCTCACCCGGGCAGCATTCTGCCTCTGGGTGCCAGCATTCATGACTTTAAGTTCCCCAAAACTTCCTATCTTGCCTGTCTCCTTTATATCTATCTCGTCCCAACAAAGTGGTAATAGAAAAATGTCAGAATCTCTGGGAAGGAGAGGAGAGTTCAATCTACAAAATATAGTCCTAAGCCAACATGACTTACGGGAATCTTTATTAAAACCACTTGTATTAGCTTGCTCTGTTCCACTAAAAAGGAATGACCCCGAAATCTTAGTAGCATATTGGTCAGGCTGAATTCCTGTTCTATTTTAACTTCAGTTGGATACCTGAATTTAGCTAATTCAGTTCTTGTGCTAGCAGGGAAAAATAATTGGTGGAGCCAGATGACAGACGCTTAATATAAGTATTTGGAAGTGATAGGTGTTATGGTCTGCTTGCATTTTATTGATTAGATGTATCATCAGGCCACTTCTGAGTTTAACAGGGTAGGAAAGTATAATTCTTCCAACCAGGGGGATTCAAATGGCTTATTTTTACCTCCTCAATTTTCACCGACCTCACCCAAATCAGTCTTTTACTATTTTACCTAAAAGACTCCAATTTGATTATATTTTTAAGTCCATATTTTTAAAAATAAAGGCCACACATGAGGGTTCTGGGGAGAGGTGGTATGTGACTCTGGATCAAACTTACGGCCTCACACATGTGCTTTACCCCTTAAGCTTTGTTGTTTGCCCTCAATCAATGGGCAGAGGGAGCATACCCAGGAATCCTCAAAGACTGTTCCTGGCTCAGTGCTTTGGGGTCACTCCTGGGGGTGTTTAAGGGACCATATGTGGTGCTTAGGATTAAACCCTGGTTTCCTGCCTACAAAGGTTGTGCTCCAACCCATTGAAATATCTCTCTGGTGTTCTTGAATACATTACAGATTCCTTTTTAGATGTTGTCCACAGACACTAGCATATCCTGATGTGAGTTGGGAATGTGGTTCAGTGCTTGCCCTCCTGTGTTCAATACCAATCACATTACAATTATTTATATAATTAAAAATTATATACATTATATAATTTTATATAAGTAAAAATTATTTATAAGTTATTATTTATAGCACTACAATTCCCAAGTTACCAGAATGCCATTACTACCTTTAAGCACCTTCTGACTCCAAATTTGGCAATACTCAATGAGTTTTCAAGACCAGAGGGATAAGTTTTTCAAATAACAAATGAAGAGGCCTCATCGTGTTTTTGATCTGTCCATTAGCAGTTCCAGTTCTGGCTATCCTTACTCTCTTTCTTGGTGTTATTCTGAAAAATAATCTGGAATCATTTCATGCATCTCTATCATTGGTATAGCAAATATCTTCTTCAAGTTCTTATGTAATATTTAGAGATACTTTAAGGAAGAGCTATTCTATTTTATTCAATGATTTTTGGTTCTAATGAATACCATAATGCCATTTTTGAAGATATAATCATTTTTGGTTTGGGTTTTCCTTGACCACACCCAGCAGTACTTAGGGATCACCCCTGCCTCTGTGCTCAGGGATCACTCCTAGAGGCTTAGAGGACCGTAGGGTGTGCTGGGGATTGAACTCGGTTGACTGAATGCAAAGCAAGCTCCCTATCCACTGTACTAGGTCCTTAGTCCTTAAGATATTGTCATTTTAGCTAAAAATTCTTGCTTTAGTTATGGTCTCATATTCAGGATAAGTCTATAGCCCTAATGAAATGCTTTGCAAAACCCAACTCTCCTTTAGTATTTCTTATTCTATGAAACCAGTTCATTAATTCAGATTCTCCTCCTTTTCCTCATGATAAATTTCTCATGTAGTGCTTTATATCTTTCCTACTGACAGCTATCAATTGGAGCCAGTTCAAATAATTGTTTTAAGTGTTCCTTATAACATTGTACTGCAAGGGTAGACATTTGAGATTTTTTTTCTCTTTTCACAGGGAAATTTGCCTCTGTCTTCCTTTCCTTAACTTCCATGGACATTGGGAATTACTGCCTTTGTAATGTTTCATACAAGTTCTTATATATTTTTTTCCCTCTCAGAATGCTTACATCACTTAAATTACCCAAAATGAAGAAGCAGCTAGAAACTCTATCTCTCCCTACTATGTCTAGCCTACTGCTGTATCTGTACTTAAAGTAATGTTTGTCTACTCCTTGGGAACAACTCTCTCTCTCTCTCTCTCTTTTTGCTTTTTGGGTCACACCTGGTGATACACAGGGTTTACTCCTGGCTTTGCACTCAGGAATTATTCCTGGCAGTGCTCAGGGGACCATATGGGATGCTGGGAATCGAACCTGGGTCAGCTGCGTGCAATACAAATGCCCTACCTGCTGTACTATTGCTCCAGCCCCAAGGGAACAACTCTCTTATGAGATCTTCATTAAGGGCTGGAGACATAGTACAGTGCGTAGGGTGTGTGCCTTGTTTGTGTCTCACCAGATTTTGAGCCCAGGCATCCCATATGGCCCCACCCGGAGTGATCCCTCATCGCAGAGCCAGAAATAAGCCCTGAGAATATCCAATGTGACCTCCAAACAACAAAAAGTCCTCCATTAATTCTTAGGGTTTTAGGTTACTAGCAGAGCTCATGCCTTGTATGTGTAAGAAAGACCCATGGCACAATCCTTGGCACTTAATTGTTCCCTGGGTACTGCCATTATAATCCTAGTAGCCCCTGTGCAATGCTGGTTGTGGCCCTCAAGCACTGTCAGTCTGTTTGGTGCCAGTACAAAAAGTGGTTCTTATTAAAATCAAAGAAGAATGATATTGTTAACATGACCTTGGGTGGTAGCAGTAGCACAGTGGGTAGGGCGTTTGCCCTGCACGTGGCCAGCCCAGTTTCAATTCCTCCATCCCTCTTGGAGAGCCTGGAAAGCTACCAAGAGTATCCCACCACATGGCAGAGCCTGGCAAGCTCCCCGTGGCGTATTCAATATGCCAAAAACAGTAATAACAAGTCTTACAATGGAGACTTTACTGGTGTCTGCTTGAGCAATTAATGAACAACGGTAAGACCATGCTACAGTACTATTCCTCAGTCACTTGTAAACCATATATTTCTCTTTGGTTAACTTATATATAATTTATAATTTTTCATTAAGTAAATAAAAATTTTATTATAAGACATGAGGAATATTATTACCCAAGTTCATATACTTTAGCCAGTTCTTCTTTTTTACAATTAAATTAAAAATTAAAAAAAATTTTTTATTGAATCACAGTGAGATAGATTCTTATAAAACTGTTCATGATAAGGTTTCATTCATATAGTGTTCCAGCACCCATCCCTCCAGTGTACATTTCCCAGCACCAGTGTACTCAGTTTCTCCAATCCCCCAGCCTGCCTCTATGGCAAGCACTTTTCTTCTTTCTCTTTATCTCTGTCTGTCTCTTTCTCACTCACTCACTCTCTCTCTCTCTTCCTTTCCCCCTATTTCCCTTTGGGCATTGTGGTTTGCAATATAGATACTGAAGGGTTACCAGAATATCCTATTACCTACTTTTAATACAAAGTTCTTATCCTGTGTGATTGTTTCCAGCTATTATTGTCATACTGGTCCCTTCTCTAACTTACTTAACCTCTGCTCCACACAGACTTGTGGTTGATCCCAACCATTGACCAGTCCCCAAGCCCCCTTTTTCCCTGGCTGTGGATATTAGTTTTCTACCATATATATATTTTTATATACCACAAATGAATGCAGTCATTCTATATCTGTCCCTCTCCTTCTGACTCATTTCACTCATCATGATACTCTCCATGCCCGTCCATTTATAGACATTAGCCAGTTCTTACCTGGAACAAAATACCAGGAAATTTTGGGAGCCATTGACTATTTAAATGATGCAAATGGCCCTCTTGGGGGACACATAACCACATGCTCTACTTTCCTATATACTCATGCATGATTTTTTTACTGATGAATATTATGTTATGCCAAGAAATATGACTTTATTATTACTTATTCTATCGTCGATTTGCTCGAGCAGGCCCAGTAACGTCTCCATTGGAGACTTTGTTGTTACTGTGTCTGGCATATCGAATACTCTCGGTAGCTTGCCGGGCTCTCTGAGAGGGGCGGAGGAATCGAACTCGGGTCGGCCATGCTGGCCGCTTGTAAGGCGAACGCCCTATCCGCTGTGCTATCGCTCCAGCTTATTCTATATCACTTTAAAATGTGAGCATCTGATAGAAATTAACTAGAAAATGAAGTTTTAGAAGAATGGTTCTTCGCTATTTTGACTTCAGCTAGATATGTCTCTAGTTGTGATGGAGAATCAGAGTACTAAGGACTGTGAGAGCCAAATACTATGGGTGGGTTAATAGTTATCAGAGATGGGTAGTTTGGGCTGAGAAGATAGTTCAAATCATAGCAATATAATCCCATGTCCTGTAAACCTTATCCATTCTCTGTTCACTGCTCCATGTGTTAAGTTACTATTTTATCCCAGGTTGGAAGGTCATATTTGTAAATCTTGAAAGCTGTAGCTGTCACTGTTGCCAATATTCTTTTCTTATTTTGCTCTAGCACTTCCCCCACTCCCCCCAGAGATTATGAAGATAGGGAGATACGTTCTTTGTGTTTACTTCACTACGGGAATCTGGCTTGATTATTCAAGCCCACAACAGGAATTTTTTAAAGTTTAATCCTCAAATATTAAATCCCAAAGTTCCACAAAAATGTTTGGTTGAATTCTGTTTTAGAAAAAGCACAGAAAGAAGATGAACAACTCGAAAATCAGAAATCTCAAAACAAGCTCCCTATGGAAGTCGCAGTCAAGAAAAAATCCTTAACTAAGAAGAAAGGCCAGGAATGTAGTTCACTTGGGAAAAAGCATGTGGGTACAAAACATGTTTCTTCAAAGAAAAAGTTGCTTAAATTTGATTCACATGGAAAGAATTTGAAACAGAGTTTAGATCTATCTGGTCACAAAAGAAATCATGCAAAAAAGAAACCCGATGTGACTAAAGAGCACAGGAAAACAATCAGCAACAACTTATCTGATATAAAGAAAGACAAAAATCAAACTGAAAAGAAACCCAAGAAATTACCCAAACATAGCTCAACTACGAAGTGTGACAAAACCCAGTCTGGCAAGAAACATGAGAAATTAGCTCGTCACTGCCCCTCCAGTCCTAAGGGAGACAGAATTCAAACTGGAGGCAAAAAAGAGAAACCCTCTAGACGTAGTTCCTCTTCTACACGCGCCAAAACTCAAACTAAAGTGAAATCCTATAAATGTAATCAATGTGGGAAGCTTCTCAGCCATAAGCAAGCACTCACTGACCATCAGAGAATACATACTGGGGAGAAACCATACGAATGCAATGAATGTGGGATAGCTTTTGGCCAAAAGTCACACCTTGTTGTACATCAAAGAACTCACACTGGAGAAAAACCGTATGAATGTGACAAGTGTGGTAAAGCCCATGGTCACAAGCATGCCCTCACGGACCATCTCAGAGTTCACACTGGGGAAAAGCCCTATAAATGTACCGACTGTGGGAAAACCTTCAGACACAGTTCAAACCTCATTCAGCATGTGAGATCTCACACAGGTGAAAAGCCATATGAATGTAAGGAATGTGGAAAATCTTTTAGATATAACTCATCTCTGACTGAACACGTGAGAACGCATACAGGTGAGATACCCTATGAATGTAATGAGTGTGGAAAAGCCTTTACATACAGTTCGTCACTTACTAAGCATATGAGAATCCACACCGGTGAGAAACCCTTTGCGTGTAATGAGTGTGGGAAGGCTTTTAGCAAGAAGTCACACCTAATTATACATCAAAGGACTCATACTAAAGAGAAACCATATAAATGTAAGGATTGTGGGAAAGCCTTTGGACATAGCTCGTCTCTTACGTACCACATGAGAACTCACACCGGGGAAAGTCCTTTCGAATGTAATCAGTGCGGGAAGGCCTTCAAGCAAGTCGAAGGCCTTACTCAGCACCAGAGAGTTCATACCGGGGAAAAACCCTATGAATGTAATGAATGTGGTAAATCCTTTAGCCAAAAGTCACATCTCATTGTACACCAGAGAACCCATACTGGGGAGAGACCCTATGAGTGTAATGAATGTAGAAAAGCCTTCACTGCCAAGTCACAGCTTGTCATACATCAGAGATCCCACACAGGAGAGAAACCCTTTGAATGCAATGAATGTGGTAAAGCATTCAAGCAAAATGCGTCTCTTACCAAACATCTGAAGACTCATTCTGAAGAGAAATCTCAAGGCTAAATTTATTGTGCCACCTTTTTTTTAAAAAAAAAACAACTGAATTCAAGGTTTTATTTAACCATAGAAACATTGTGAACTTTAGGATACTAGAATGCCTCTAAGAGGCTGCAGAGATCATGCAGGAGCTTTTGTGCTTGCCTGGCACACAGCTGACCTGGGTTGAGCCCCTGTACCTCATGTGGCCCCAAAGAGCATTTCTAGGAGTGATCCCTGAGCACAGAGCCAGGAGGAAGCCCCGAGAATTGCCAGGAGGGACTGAAACCTGCCACCCCCAAATCAAAACACTCAAATAGAAATCATAGCTTATTACATATGAGAGAATTTGAAAACAGTTCTTCACATCGACACAGTGGATGAAGAGTTTAGACTTGATACCAAATCTTTTGTAGAAAATGTTATTTTCAAAGCATTCAAGTATTATAAATTATATATATGTTTAGATAGAAATCTAAGATTTAAAAATTTGTGAATGAATTGAATGATTATAGAAGTGGACAAACAGATGACATGTTGATAATTCTTAAAGTCTGTAGGTGTTGCTATTAAATGATCATGCTTATCTCTCTATTGCCTTGTGAGGCTATTCATATAATTCTTTTCTTTGCTATTATCACTCAGGTCTCATTTCTTTTTTATATCCTTCATCAGTCAAATTTATGTAAAAATATTTGCACAAAATAAAAATGAAAATCAAAGAAAACAGCGAGTAAAGAATGATGTCCAAATATGTTAAGTGAAAAAGCAGGTGGTTGAACCATCTACATACTATATTTCCTCTGTGTACAAACTGTATCCGTTCTGTATCTCTTTGTAATATATCTGTATGTATTAATGTATGTATACACATATTTCTATGTGACTAGGTTCTATTTAAAAAAAAAAACGATGTGGTTGCCATTGACATTGGAGCTGCTGACCCTGGTTCCATCTCCAGCACCATGAACAGTCCCCTGAGAACTACCAGGACTGTTCCCTGTTTTGTCATATACATGTGTTTTCAAAGTACAAGTTTTAATATGCTTAAATCAATACTTTGGTTTTCTTCACTTGGCTCCCTCAATGATTTGAAAGATTTCTCATTCCTCTTCATAAACGTGAATAAATTAGTTTTGGTAGTAATTGTGAGTACTTTCATTAAAATAATCATAATTAACAGCACTGTTTCTTCTTTTAATTTTTTACATACTGATGACTAATTGTAATTATAGGTATAAATCTGAAAATCATTCAATTTTATCTCATGGTCGATGTACTGACACACAAACACCTGAGTCAGGAATCTGAAACGTGTAACAGCAAATGCCACTGTTCAGTCCCTTGTCCCCTATATCTGCTGTAGTTTGTAAATCATGTACTCTTTCTGTGTAAATCAGATTTGATTTTACATTCATTTCTTTTCTTAAAATTTTGAAAATTTTATTTTCATAAGGTTGTTCACATTAAGTGATTACTTTCAATATTTTAACACCAATCCCACTACCATTATTTCAAAATTTCTCACCACTAGTCAAGTTTGCCTGCCACAGGCAGATGCTAGATAATTTATTTTCTATTGCATATTATAAATATCATGAGAGGTTTCCTGGAATTCTAAAATTGTAAATGTTTGGGTCCAGATACATCTCTGTAGGGAGCTAATCCATTATGAGATTCATTTGTGTGTCTCTGGATCAGGGGCATTTAATGCACTTAAATGGCGCCCAGAGGCACTTTGTGGGTGTGACAGCCAGGACCCCGAGGGGGCGGGGAGATGGGAAGGGACAGCTCATCCTGACCCATCATGTGGTCTGGAGTCTTTAGTCCCTGGTCCCTCGTACGTGGGTTTTTCTTTTGGAAGTTTGTGGCCACTGGGAGTTCATTTGGAGTCGGGGGGAGAGAGGGTACTCACTCCATCTGAGGTGCTCCAGTGAAATCAGCTCAGCATGGGGTCCAGAGAAATCTCTGGCCAGCTGCCCTCTTTCCGGATTCACCGCTGAGTCTCTAGATTCATTTCTTGACAGTCATTCTTTTTTTTTTTTTTAGTAGTGAATCACTGTGAGGTACAGTTACACACTTACTAACTTTTGTGCTTGCGTTTCAGTCATACAATGATTGAGTACCCATCCCTCCACCATTCCCTATTCTCCAGACAATCATTCTTAAGGCATTATGAATCAGTTTAGGTTTGCCCAAGAGCCATATTGTTTATTGCAAGATTAGATAATATATTTTTTAAAATTAAGTTATATTTAAAATACAATTAAATTGCTTTTAACTATATTTATTAAAACAAGAAAGTAAGGACAGAAGTGTTATTTTATTTTGTTTTATTTTATTTTATTTTTTTGCTTTTTGGGTCACACCCAGCGATTCACAGGGGTTACTCCTGGCTCTGTACTCAGGAGTTACTCCTGGCTGTGCTCAGGATACCAAATGGGATGCTGGGAATCAAACTCGGGTCGGCTGCGTGCAAGGCAAACGCCCTACCGACTGTGCTATCTCTCCAACCCAGAAGTGTTATTTTAAATAAGGTAGTAATTTGCATGTGTGTTACCACCCGCTCCAGCAAATCTATGAACTAGGGGATGACAAGTGACAAGTTACCTGTTACATTTTTTCACAGTAAACTTATTATGGTACTTTGTTTCTTCTACAGAGTGAACGTGAGTCTGTTCACTTCCTAATTACATTCAATTCTGCTCAACAAATATTTCCTAATTGCATTCAATTCTGCTCAATAAATATTTCTCCAAGATACTTGTCTACCATATGATTGCCTAAACAAACATGATTAAGAATCACCTTTGCAAATAATTTTCATTCAGCATCATGTTTTCCTGACTATATTTTCAAATTTTCGATATTTGAAAGGTATAAATATTTAGAATGGAATGGATGTGTGTTAGAAAGTCAATTTATGCATGTTATGCTGTTATTTCCATTAAGCTTTTATCCTTGGGGAAGATAATGCAATGTGAAAACCATTTCCACCAGAAATTATTGCCAAGTGGAAACATAGCACTCTGTAGAGTGAATTATCACTTCCAGAATTATATAGAATCTCCACTTCTTTAGAATGATTGAAAAATGAATGATTAGAGCTGTGTTAAATTTCCTACATCTCTTGGAAAATACAGAATGAGGCCAGGCGTGGGACAGTGAAGAATGCTAAACAACAGAAATTAATGCAGAAAGTCACTGTTTCACTGTATCACTGTCATCCCATTGTTCGTAGATTTACTCGAGCAGGTGCCAGAAATTTCTCTATTCCTCCCATCCATGAAATTCTAGCAGCCCTTCCTTACTTGTCTTTCCCAATGATTGGAGGCTCTCTCAGGGTCAGGGGAATGAGACCTGTTATCGTTACTGTTTTTGGCATGTCGAATACGCCATGGGGAGCTTGCCAGGTTCTGCAAGATCGATCTATCTATCTATCTATCTATCTATCTATCTATCTATCTAGATATCTATCTAGATCTATATCTATACATAGATAGATAGATAGATAGATAGATAGATAGATAGATAGATAGATCTATGATTTGTTGCCTACTGTCTGAACCCCATCAGATATGTTGTGGTAATTATGAAAATGGGTAGGAAGTGTCTTATGATGTGTCCAGGAATATGTTCACTCATACGTGAGGCTCAGCCCAAGCATCTGCAAAGAGGCCTGAAGCGTGGCGGTGGTTGGGTAGTGGAGGTTGGCTGCTGGGGCTGGGTACCTTGGGGTGGGGAGGGCTCTCACCCACCCCCTCTGGGGCACCCCGAGTGAAAACAGCCTGGCATGCAGAAAGTCATCCTGAAAAAAAATGAAAAAGTGGAGAGTGAATAAAAGTTAACGTTAAGGAGTGAGGAAATGATTTCTGAAACTGATTGGCAGGAGCAATGAAAGGAAACAGACATGGAGGTGTGTCTAATTTAGCTATACTCAAACTTCAAGTTGCATCAAAATTGTCTGCAGAGTTTATTAAAACAGACATCAGAAAGGATCTTGCCTTTCCCACCGAGTTTTGGATTCAATAAATCTTCAGTTGGGCCTGATCATTTTTAATTTTTAAACTGTTTATATTTTAAAATTATTTTTATGTGGGGTGCACCTGGCTATGTTTAGGCTTTACCCTTGGCTCTGTGCTCAGGGATCACTTCTGGTGGGGCTTAGGGGACCACATGCAGTGCTCTGGATCAAGAGCTTTCCAACTGTACTATCTCCGACCCAAATAATTTCCTTTTTAAAATTAGCTTCTGGGGGATGGTGATGCTGCTCTGAGGGAACATTTTGAGAAACACTGATCTAAATCATTGTTGAAAAATTTTAAACATGGGCCCGGAGCAATAGTCCAACAAGGAGGGCACTTGCCTTGCATGTGGCTGACCTGGGTTTGCTTCCTGGCATCACAGATGATGCCAGGATTCTCCAAGTCTGTTGCGAGTGATCCCTGAGTGCAGAACCAGGAGTAAGTCTTGAGCACCAACCAAAAAAAGTAGGTTTCTTCCCCCCTCCCTTTACTTTTTTTTTTTGGTGGGGGGGTAGTGGGGCAGGGGACACACCCGCACACCCCAGCAGTGCTTAACTTCTGTCTCTTTGTTCAGGGATCATTCTTGGTGGGTCTCAAGGAACCATTTGGGTTTCGGGAATCAAACCCGCATTAGTGACACACAAGGCGAGTGTCCTACCCACTAAGCTACCACTCCACCTCAGAAAACAGGTTTCCAGAGAATTAGTTGAAAAAGCCAAGTAACTTCTATATTTATCCCATAAAAATTCATTAGTCTAGGGGCAGCTAGGAACTCATTTCTCCTTAGCCTTGAGTCATCTGATTTGCAGGTGGAAAGATCTACAATAAGCTAAGCTTTTTCTTTGTTTCATTTAGTGCGTAGGTTTTTGTTAGGTTGTTGGTTTGTGAGTCAGACTTGGCTCAAAGGTTACTTTCTGCACGCAGTGCTGGGAATCAAACCCAGAGCCTCACACATTCAAGGTAAGTGTTCTACCACTGAGCTGCATCTCTGTTCCTCATATGCAGGTGTGTGTGTGTGTGTGTGTGTGTGTGTGTGTGTGTACATGTGTGCACGTGTATGTGTATTTAGGGACCATAGACAGTGGTGTCTTAGAATACCCCAGCTCA